GGACAATAGATACTCTGTATGATTATAATTAAATTGAATAGCAGTCTACCATCAAAACAGTCTGCTATAAATATTTGGTTTCAGGTTTCATTAGATGAAGTCATTGTTCCTGTTATACTAGAATAGAAGTGAGTCCACAAACACATATCTAACGTCTTGCGGTTCTCAGGCAGAACTGAGTATTCTGGAAGTGAGATTGACTGATAAAGTGCAGAGTAGGTCTATTCATAGCTTATGGATTTATAACCAGATCTCTGTAACCAGAGATGCCCCCATAGTTTTGTTGCTAATGTTTTACATCGTTGTAATTTAGACATTAAAAATTAAGACACGAGAGAGTGTTTATATACACACATACTTATTTTATTATAAAAACATATGTAAACACCTGTAACATTTTCTTCACTTGATGAGGAAAATAAAAAAGATAAAACCAAATAGTTTTAGGAAAACAAACTAAAATCTCCTAAATAACAGGCTTTGCCTAAATAATGACTTGATTGTTTTCTTTTCCAAAAGACTGTTAAAGGCACAAGTTGAAACTCGTTTGACAGTTCAGTGTCTGCTTTACTACAGCTACTGTTGCTTTATTTGTGTCACAGTCCAGTGACAAAGGTGTCCTCTGCTTGTCAGAAAAAGGTCAAACAGTAACATTGTGTAAACTACTTTCCATTTTGGAAAAGCAAAAGGAGCACTAGAAATTTTACGCCTCACTCATGAGCTGAAACTTCACAAACACTTTTGTATAACTGGGTTGTCTGCATCTCAGTTTAAGTTGCTTTTAGAGATGATTGCTGCACACATGACTGAGCAACCAGTAGGTCATGTTGGTTGTTGCTATGTCAACCGAAGAGACAACAGTGATTGGTCATTGAGTTCATGTGTGTGAAATTAGTCAAAAATGAACAGAGAGCGAATAAGACAATGTTTCCTTTTCACCAAGAAATCACGTTTGTTATGCAAGATATCATTAGTTATACATTTGTACTTTGTATCATAACCAAATGGAATGTTTATCAACTGAGGTATTGAGACGGTTTGAGCAAACTAGCTCAACCGTCTAGCTGATGATGACAAGAAGGCCTGGCTCATGATCAAAGTTCCAGTTCATCCCAAATGTGTTCAGTGGGGTTGAGATCAGGACTCTTTACAGGCCACTTGGACTCGTCCACACCAAACTCATCAAACCATGTCTTTATGGAGCTCAGTTTGTGCACAAGGGCTCAGTCATGCTGGAACAGGAAAAGGTCTTCAACAAACTGTTGCCACAAAGTTGGAAGCATTTAATTGTCGAAAATGTCTTTGTATGTTGTAGCATTAATATCACCCTTCACTGGAACTAAGGAGCCCAAATTTTCCCACAACTTCAGAATATCACAACTTTATTGGACCGTTCTGCAGGCATCAATTTCAGAATGAGCTTATAATTACAAAAAGAAAAAAACGTCTGAAAATGATAAAGTGAAAAATCACTGATCGTAAAACAGCGTATTATCACCTCTGCAGTGTCTCTGAGGTTGATAACATCGTCTGTCTGACAATGAAAAACTCAACCATGCCTCTATCTCCTCTGGACTGGATTACTGCAACAAAACAATCCCTAGATATGATCCTACAAGGTCCCTCAGGTCATTAAGGAAATTCAACTGAAGAGGGTAAACCTTATGAAGAGACAGTTTTTCTTCGCATATAAAAACAGCAATAGTTTTTTTCAAAACCTGTTATAACAAGACTCCTCCCCCTACATTTATTTAAAAAAAAACATTTTACTTAAATGTAACTGTTGCGATTGACTAAATGGGTGCCACTAGCATTTTATAACCATAATAACACAAAAGGGGTTGTTGCTGCAATTTTGTGCTTTTATATTGTAAATGCCTACCAAGGTACATTATTCTTAATTTGATATAATTATTAAAAAAAAACAAATATGCAAGAAATCATCAGTTCATCATCTGTTCTAATTCATTTATTCACTTCCAAAAAAATCACCTGGATAAATTGTGCTCTGTGTGTAAAGGCCTTTACATTCACTGGAGAAAGAACCTCACTCACACCTTGGTCAGCAGTGAACAGGCACGAGCTTACAGTAACCTATGAATTTGTTCATCAAAGGAACAGACATTAATCAAGTCAACAGAATAAAAAAAATTCATGCAGCAGCACCCTGCGTTTAGAAGTGAACACTCAATTACAATATCTCTTTCACAAAGACAGACACAGAAAACTATGGGAGCGTCTCACTGCTCACATATGTATAATCTATTAGTAGAACTGTTGTGCACGTCATCAGTCAAACTCACACCCAGAATATGTCTGAGTGCTGAGAGCAGAGAGAAATTAAATGTGTTTGTGGTCTGACTTCTGTTCTAGTGGTGATGACATCATTAACGAATGAGGAACTGAATCCATCCATGCTATTTTTATAAGGTGACATTTAATACAACCTTTGGTTGGTCTAAAGTAGTGGAGCAGAGCTGAGGGTCCAGCACAGTTTGGTGTTTTTTCTGCTCCAGCTAAACCTGGTGATTGACTGATTAGTTGAATCAGGTGTGTTTGAGCAGGAAAATCACCCAACTGTTCAGGAATCCAGCCCTCCAGGACCCCCACCCTGCTCTAAAGTCAGTAGTGGGTAGTGCTGTCGCCTCACAGCAAGAACCACCTGACTTCGGTTCCCTGGCTGGGCGACCAGGGTCCTTTCTGTGTGGAGTTTACATGTTCTCCCCATGTCTGTGTGGGTTTCCTCTGGGTGCTCCAGTTACCTCCCGCAGTCCAAACACATGCAGTCAGGCCAATTGGACATGCTAAATTGCCCACAGGTGTGATTGTGTGTTAGCGTGTATGTCTGTCTGTCTGCCCTGCGATGGACTGGCGACCTGTCCAGGATGTATCCTGCCTTCCACTCAGTGACTGCTGGGATAGGCTCCAGCTCCCCCCACGACCCAGAAGGATAAGCGGTTTAGAAAAGGTGTGTGTGTGTGTGTATGTGTGTGTGTGAAGTTTGGCAGGAATTCTTACTTCTCAAGCCAATTGGCAAAACCAAAATTGCTTTTTCCACTATAGATAGATGGCTTAATTTCTCTTATAATGTCTCACCTGAATTATTCTCAACGTATATGAATTTGTGTCATTCACTCAATTACAATATCTCTTTCACAAAGACAGACACAGAAAACTATGGGAGCGTCTCACTGCTTACATATGTATAATCTATTAGTAGAACTGTTGTGCACGTCATCAGTCAAATTCACACCCAGAATATGTTGCTGGTGGGTGTATAATCTATTAGTAGAACTGTTGTGCACGTCATCAGTCAAACTCACACCCAGAATATGTTACTTGTGGGTGTCCTAAATATTGTCAATTTACCTCTGAAACTTAGGATGTATTCACAACTATGTCTCTGGCTGCAGGTCACTTTGGTCTCTGTTTGTGCTACTGGTTGGATTCTAAACTCTCTGTTCAGTCCACTTTGTTTAGCCCACAAGCAGCGCATAAAAGTACTGCATCAGAGTGCTGGAGAAAATGACTCAGTGGTCATTGCTAGGCAAAATAGTGCTCAGTGCTTGGTATTTTCAGATCTCTGTCCAAAATCCAATTTCTTGACAAAATTATTGACATAGGACTCAGGATATGATCTTGGTTCTCCTACACATAAGAAACCGCAGAACTGTGCTCATATCTCCGGCTCAGTGCTAGACTCATTCAGATTTGAATGAAGTGGTCATGACTACTATGTTGCACTGGACACTCAGGCAGCATGTTATGGTGTCCCACAAGGCTCAATTTTATATATATATATATATATATATATATATATATATATATATATATTATCAGCACGCAGACAACACCCAGCTACATGAGGCTGCCTCTGAACTTCCTGCAAAGGGAATACAAATGAGACAGAAAATTCTGAAATGAGATTCCAAGAAAACTAAACCTTTTTTAGAGTCATTCTCTGTGAAGGTAGAAATCTACATCAACATTGTTTCTGACATTGACATCACCCCTTCAGTATCTCCCAGGTCTGTAACATTCTCTTCATTGCTAAGAGTGAAACATATATGCAGCCTCGGTCTCTTCTAGACTGGATTACTGCAGCACTGTCTTATCCGGCCTACCGAAGAGCTCTGAATGCAGAGTTCAAAATGCTGTTGCCAGAAACCTCAGACACACCAGAATGAGAGATCACATTAAATCGGCCCTCATATCCCTTCATTGGCTACCTGTATCTTTTAGAATTAACTTTAATTCTTTTATTCATTTTTTTTAAATGTACTTCATAGTAAAATATATAGCTATGGTCCAGCAAGGTCACTCAGGTTATCAAAGAAATTCAGCAATTCAGCTGAAGAGATCAGATTTGAAGCTCTTGAATTTTCTACCCGAATCTAAATAGATCTAAAAAAAATAGAAAAATCTAAATAGAATTAAATTGTTTCTGCTAACAGCTGTATTTTACTCAGCTATTTTTATTTTCTTCACATATGGAAGCAGCGACAGCTCTATAAAACTTGCTATACCAAGACTCTTTGCCCTCATATTCAGACAAAAAGCATTTCAGGACTCTATTTCAGAGTGAAGATGCCCCTGAAAGGCCTTTAATGAGGAGAGAAGAAATCTTGTGACAACCTTCTAATGTGTCAGTTCTGTTTCTTTCATTAAACAGTTTCTCTTAGCTGCTCTACGAGTTTAGAAAGATTTTTGATGGAACATTTCATCCAGTTATAATCTGTCAAAAAACAGTACCACAGCTCTGTATTTAACTTTAACTGTCAATCTAACCTTCAGTGTTTTAAAGGAGTTACGTAGTTAATTAGAGATCATACAGTTTTGACAAATGCACAAGTCGTTGCAGTGATCAAGTGTTTGTCTTTTGACTCTTTTTTCAACTAAATTTCCACCACCACCCCCACCACTCTCTCACTCTCTCTCTCTCTCTGAGACATGTATTTCGTGTGTAAGAACAGAGGAAATGTGTTTCGCACAGATTAGTCAGTCAGTCATTACTGGGACAGTATGGAGCTCAGTTCACTCTCTGTGACGCTCTGTAAGTAAAGCTTCTCTTTATATCTTCATTAGATTCAGTGCTGCTGTATGAAGTTGTTGATAAAGTTATTGAATGTAATTCGGCTGCTTTACAAGCTTTTATTTAATGTTAAAATGAGAGTATTAAGTGTTTTAGTTCAAGGTCCTTTGATGATAAAATTCCTGAGCTCCTTTCTGGTCTTGTTGTGAGAAACTTGTGAGAATTAACTACAGAAAGAGTTTATTTAGACTTTTTAGATTCTATGCTGTCCACATTGCATTTTCTATTTCTCTTTAATGATGAAATATATTATCTGTAAGATAATATCGGTAATATGATAGAGGAGAATCTGGCACTGCCTGACAGAATATTTTATACAAGCAACATATTAATCTCTGCTACAAATTAAAATATAAACTTAATTTTGAGCTCTTAGTGTTTGTGAACAATTCAGTCAAAATTGTCTGTATTTCTCACATAGGCGGGGTCAGTTATAACAGGCTGAGGGTCTGGCTGTAATAGCTAGAAAAGTCTAGCAAATTGATTTTTGACTACAAAATACAACAGCAAACACAAACTCTATAAAACTCAAATATTTTATTAATATAACATCACTTTTTGTGTTGAGGCTGAACTTTAGCCTGATTAGCTCAATAGTCAAATTATGTTAAGTTGATTTTTTATGTGAAAGAACATAAAGTTAACACATCCTGTACACAGAACACACTTCTGACCATTTTAATGCACAGTTACTGTTTCTTTGCTGAATTTAACACATTGGAAAAAAATAAAATTAAAAAAATAAAATAAAATAAACATTATGCTTTAAAATGTACAGAAGATTATGTTAAATGTCATATTTAAGTGTGTTCCCTGTAGAGGATGTGTTCATTTATTTCACATTTAGCTGCAATGTTTAAATTTTTGACCCTTGATATGACTGTATGAACTCCATTTTGCTTGATGTCCCACTTTATTTAGCTGCACCCACCTGAGGTTTGACTTCTATCACTTACACTCAGTAATAGATTTTTTAAATATAAAGGTCATTAATATAATACAAAAAGAATTTTTTTTATTTGTTTAGTGTGAATCTTGAGAAATGTCTTTTTAGATTGCTGTCAAACAAAGCAGATGACGCGACTGTGTGAACACGAGAAAGTGACCAAAAGCCTGTTCTCTTTAAACCTGTTTGATTTGTTCTCATGCTAAAAGCAGGCCTGTGTTTTTAACTGTAGATTTTCAGTGCTTTATTTATTGTATGTTTTTGAAATGTACATTGATTTTTTTTCTTAATTCTAATCTTGTGATGGTAACAGCAGTCATGGTGATGGTAAAGAGCGAACGCTTTGTTTGTGATGTTCATGGTGATTCTTACTTACATTGTCTGATTTGATCTGATTCTCTAGCTGTACACAGCCTTTTCAGACTTATTCTTTCTACCTGTGATACCAGATAATACTTCACAATAATGCATCATGTTCTCTGTTTCTCTCCTTCTTTAGTGCTGATTGTGCTCATCCACTGTGGACAAACTCAAGGTGAATCATTACATGATTCTACTGCAGTATTTCATTCTCTTTAATGCATACTTTCATCTTATTATTCACATTTAATACACAAACATTATCATAACCAGCTAAGAGGACTGGATGTTTTTGTAAATGTAGTTTTTGGGTGAGTATAGTCTGTGTAGTGTAGTGAGTTTGTGGAAAAGCTTGTTTTTCCAACCAGCAGTGACGTGGCTGACTCTCTACTGGCCTTAGAGGTGGTTTGCTCATAGACTTATTGGCCGCTATATTAGCTCTACAAGAGGCTACACCACCCAGACCAACTGTGACGTCTTGTTAGGTTGTGTAAGTATGCAACTCTGTAGGCTATAGCTATGATATAAATGAGAGAGTTATGTGAGAAATTAATTAAGACCACGTGTAGCACTGCTAGCTAAATCAGCATGTAAATCTACATTTGGTGACATAAACACTTGCTTCACTTAACAGACTCTATGGCAAATGCACAGGTTATAGAAAATCAACTTAAACGGATGGTAACACTGTTACAAACCTCTGAGGCAGCATTATCAAAGCAAAATGTGTAGACATTGCTGTAATTTCAATAATAAATCCTGCTAATAGAGAGTAGCTAACATGCAGGAAATCCACAGAGATCATCTAAGAGTCTGGAAAAATGACACTGTAGAGTTATTATGCTCACAAACTGAAAAGACCGATCAATTTGGTCTTCTCTGCCAGAACAGGATGAGAATTGTATAATAAAGTGGACAACAGGGGCCTCACTAGATGTTCATGGATAGAGGGGCTAAGCATGTACTACAGGGGTCTGCGTGCAGGGTCCCTAAAGATAATTTTTTTAATGGCCCCAAAATGTCAAATACATCAGTGTTAAGCATATCAAAAAAATGGTTCTTTGGTCGAATTGGTACACAGTAGATCCGTCTCTTTGTAGTTTGTATTAAGCACACAGTTTGTACTATAACAAAGACTACATCCATCCACTTACAACAGGCACAGATCAAGCAAAGGTACTGAAGGCCAGCAATGCTGTCTCTTCTCTCTCTTAGATCAGCTGCAAAGTCCTAAATATATTATTCAAACATAGATTATAGATCAGTTCAGAAGGAGTGTGATTTTGCTCTGTAGAGATGTTTAATAAGCTAGATGACAGAATTTCATGGTCATGGTGAAAAATATTAGATTTTCTCAGTTAAATTAAATTCAGTATTAGTTTTATTTTTTTTCTCCCTCTCTTCATGTGTTTAGAAATACATTAATTTTATTAAACTCAGATATACAAGAACTCAAGGAAATAATGATCAATCAATTAATTAAAAAAAAATTTAACTGATAAAAATCATTTAACTGGTAATAAACAGATATCCAGCTATACTGACCATAATTTGCCACAAATCCATATTGTTGGTGGAAATATTCGCTGTTCATGATTGGCTTACAACCTCTAAGGTCTCATATGATTGGCTGAACGCTATGTAAGTCAATCTCTGGTAGTACAGCAGAGGCAGCACTGCATTAGAGCGGCAGCAGCGCCTCCCCCAGGTTGTGCCCTGCCATAACAGGACACTGTGAATGGGAAAAAAGTATAAAGTGTTTGGACTAGTAATGTACCTTTACTTAGGAAGTGGTGGCTAAATAACATTTAGGAGGGGTTACAGCCCCCTAAATTAGGCCTAGCAAAACCCATGGGGGACGACCTCATCTCGTTGAAACAGAAATGCAACTGCTATCACAATAATGCTGCATTTACACTGCTCTGACACGACAAGAGAGGGATGTGAACTTTTTTGAGTAAACTGAAAGTCGACATAGCTTGTATCAGTAAACTAATATTTTCCAAAATGTTGATAAGGTTTAACTTAAGATTTAGGTCACTGGTTAACACATGCAGTCAACATCCCTCATTATAGTTTATTAATGCCCAACCAATCATTTCCTGCCCTGGTTTTAAATTTTGGATGATAAAGAGCTTGTGACCAGTTATATTAGCTTTTGCTGGTGGTCTTCCATGTCGCATGAGAACATCTGAAAAGTGGAGCAAATGTTTCATCCACTGAGCTGCAGATACAAACCACACAAACACCATCAGCCGTCTGATTGGGTGAACGCATGGCTTTGGCCAGATTCACTGGCATTAAGTTCAACTGTACTCAGGACCAAACATTCACTACACAGCTGTGTTGGATGAAACCACCGCTTCTGGGTGTGGTGCTAGAGGGGTGCTAGAGGGTGTTCAGGCATCCCTGGTAGCACCATCAAAAAATGTTGATTGGCCTTTTCTTGTTAAGTGTATAAATGTAATTAGGCTACCAGCTTATACATCTTAGGAACTGCTGCTGTCCGCTAGAGGTCTGCAGTCCCGCGGACCCGACACAATACCTTGCAGCGCAGGGCGATCTTTTCAGTCGGAAATTAGACCCCTTCAGGCGGAGCTGTCGGAAGCACGCAAATAGAGAAAATTAAATTAAGAGCCTAACTTAAGTAGAACGATCACTAAAACATGTAAACAGTAGTAAAACAGGTAAAATGAATAAAGTCATTCTGGAGCAACCGATCACGTGAACACCACGTGAATTCTCAGAGGCCTGATTCACATATACTGCGTCTGTGTGGCGCGAGCGACGCGGAAAGTCTTGCTTTTCATTTCGGCAGCAATGTTAAGTGATCAGCGCTTCACACAGGCCGCGCGTGCGAAGACGCCGCACTGAAGCGCCGCGGTGTTGAGAGAATAGACCCGGGGCAGACTTTTTCCGCGCGCTGCCCACGTCACGCAGCTAAATACACTGAAATAAGTCATGAAAATAAATGAAAATTAAACAGAATATACTTAATTATATTTAACAGACCGTATAAAAGCGTTAAAAGGCGATTTTTATGTCATTCATGAGGAAATACTAGTTAAACGTTCTGTGCTGCAGACAGATTTCTCGGTTGTTCTACCAGGCTTGAAAATGTTTTTTCTAATCAGAAGTCAGAACGCTGTCCATAATGAACAGAAATACCCTGTACATTTATACATGATATTTCTATTAATCAGAGTGACTGAAGTGACCATTTGTCCATCTGGAAACAGGGATGTCTTTCACTGTCTCGCTGCTCCGCAGCATAAACGCTGTATGTATGATTCACTCTCGCCACGCAGAGGCAGCATTTGTGAATCCGGCGTTAGAGAGATGGCCGCAGCAGCCCAACAAAACACCAAAAATTGAAAAAAACAGTCCCGCCAGACTTCTACTACTTTTGTTGTCGGTGAATTTTGTACTTTCAATGCTCTTTTATTATTAAAGCTAAAACTGTCTGTGTCAAAATGTCAAAACAAAATTCTACTTCAGTGCAAGCAGTTATCAAAGGTAACATTAGCATTTTTTCATGCTCACCAAGGCAGCATGCTTTAGCCTAGAATATTCAGATTTAGGTTTTTGTCATGTTGTTTTTCCTCATTTTTCTCAGTTGCATGACTTTTTAACTCAATATGGCATCTTTGTTTGGTAGAAATCAAGCCTGTGATGAGTGGATGCATGCTTTAGGGAAGGGTACTGCTGGTTGTGAAGTGTTAGATATGTTTATGGTTGATGTGAACACAGTCTGGCTGTTGTGTTTTATCACCACAGAGCGAATACATGGAAATAGGCAGGGTGATGACAGCACTGCTGTTAGCAATAAGCTTTAGCCTGATGTCATTATATTGCAAGACATGGTGCATTTGTAAATTGTATCTACCAAACTGGACCCACCCTCTTTTTCACATACAGTAAAACCACCTTTATTAAATAAAATCAACAAATTAAAATGTATTTTCCATTAAAGTCAGCTGATATTCTTTTCAAAAAAATTATTATACCCAAAATCGTTATATATAAAGATACATACAGCATTTTGGAATGAAACTCTTCATATATTCATTACAACAGTATTAATCATCTTTGAACAGAGAGACCAAACGCTACAGTGAAAGTCCAGCCAGCTGACCATGAGTTCATCAGAGAGAGAGTCACTCTGACATGTGAAATAGAAAGTGGAGATTACTGGAATTATGAATGGTGGAAGGAAAATAACTTCCACATTTTTAGATGTTTCAGTTCATGTAGCTCATCTTATCAGCTAGTGGCAATATAGTGGGACTTTGTGTGAAATGTTTGATTTTGTTCATTGTAAAGTTTGTAAACTTGGTAATGGAGTGAATGTTTTAGAATTTGGACAGATCAGATAAGGAATGACTCCTTAAAGCAGTAATGAAGTGTTGAAAGTGCAGAAAAGGAGAAATCAGTATTTGGAGTTCTGCACATATTCAGCAGTGTGGTTTACTCACTGTGTGAAGTCTGTCACATTTCTACTAAATTAACCTCTCTGAGCTCTTAATCCCCATTACACTCCTGTAGACCAGTGTTCCATATAAGTAAAATCACGAGCAATACTACATTGCTACAAATTGTAGTTTGAGCTAAAGTTATCAATGCATAATTAATCAAAGATATAAAGCGTTCTTAAAGAAGAGACAAAGTCAAAAGTTAAAGTGCAGCCTGACTGAACAAACACATTCACAGAACATAGAAACATTAAACTAATTCGTCTTAAATCATGTGATTAGGATGATAAACTACTTCTTATATTATAAAGAGTAAAGCAGATCTGCTGACTTCATCATTTTATATCAACAGATAAACCCAGACTGAGTGTGGATCCTCAGAGCTCAGTCTATACTGGAGACACAGTGACTCTGAGCTGTGAGCCGCCGTATCAGTCTAGTGACTGGAACTTTTACTGGATGAAAGACTCTGATTATGTACAACCAAGTCATCATCTGAAAACATACAGTATAACAGTGTCTCATCCAGGAGAAGCAGAGTTTAGATGTATAACATGGAGGCTAAACTATCAGTCAGAGGACAGTGATCCCGTCAGGATTACAGTGAGAGGTATGACATGTTTTCTGTTTCCTTTTTTTACCAATGACTTGATTTCATAATGACTGTGTTATTTTAATATTACATTTTTCAAAATTGTATTTTAATTATGTTATAAAAATATTTTACAATATTCTATAAAGTTGTAAAATAATGTCATGAATCTTCAGAGTATTAATGGACCATTACACCAGATGAATTCTACAAAACTGCAGTCTCATTTTAAATAAATGAATAAATAATTAAATAAATAAAAATTCAGACCTTATATATATTAACAGTAATTATGTTTTGATGTATTTAAATCCAAGGTAAAGTAATAAATCCAAGATAGTAATAAGATAAATATTTACAATCAACATTTATAGGGACTTCCTATTGAGAGATGTCTGTCCCAAACCCTCACATCTACATTTACACTTGTGTAGATAATATTTTCTCTTTTCTTTTCCTTTTTCAAAAACATCTATCTGATGAATTAAAAAAAAATGTTGTCCCTCATCTTCATGTCATTACTGTAACACAGAGTCCTTATTTTAGCCACACCCCTGCATTTTAGAGTAAGAAGTGAGACTGTATCTCTGTCCCTTATGGTGAGCAGTTAGATCTCACTGTTTTGAGGTAAATGTGCCCCAAATCTGAAAATCAGTGTGTAACATTAGGAATTGTCACTACTATTATGATTTTATGTGTGTACAGCTGTTCGAAGCTGTGTTTGCTAATCATGTAGAAAGCATTTTTGAGTAAAATCACTACTGAAACACTCACATTGAAAACATTTGGTAAAGTCCTGGGAGTGTTATGAATGTTTTTCTAGTGACAAAATGGAATTATTAATAATTTTGTTTTAATAAAATAAACTATAAAACAATTAAGCTATAGGGTCATTCAAGACTAAATGTTTTCAGTCTAAATTCCACATCAGTTAAAATAATCCATTTACATTAAAAGTATTTGTCATCTTTGAACAGAGAGACCAAAAGATTCCATTAAAATCAGTTGTTATTCTTTTTGAAAATTATACAAATATCCAGTGATTTGGAAAGAAACTCTTCATATATACATTATATTTGTCATCTTTGAACAGAGAGACCAAAAGGAGACAGAAGCCCTACTTGTTTAATCAGTTGGTCTCAGTCTTCAACAGCTGACCATAAACTCTGCTACACTGAACATAAGCTGTGATACTCTAAATATTAAACCAACATTAAAGTTACATTTCTAAATAACATAAAGCTGATTGTCTAAATTCTATCGACTGAACTTTGTTCTTCATCAACAGTAAGTCAAACCTACAATCACCTCAAACCATGAAGGAGCTGTACTGACAGGAAACACAGTGACTCTGTACTGTAACCTCCCTCAGTCTGCTGGAGCTTTTAACATCAATGTGAATCCAAGTCATAATGCATTTTCCTTCCATACTGTCATGCATTTCTGAGGGAAACGTGATAACATGGAAGGTCTCTGAGTTAACTGAGCATTTCACTCAATAACAGGTGTGGATGGTGGGGGGGGGGGGGGGGGGTGCAGTGAAACAAGATATAATTGGCCAAAAAATATTGTAGCTAGTTCAGAAAATGTTCATTTGGGTTGATTTCCCCCAGTGCTTTTTTTTGGGGTTTATTCTAGAAGGACTCTTATAGTGAAGGTGGACCTTTTCTTTGTTTTATTGGTTTATGCTTAGTTCAGGAACAGCAGGGAGTGTATCACTGGTGGCTGAGCAACCTAGATGCAGTGAGGCATCGAGTGAACTGTTAGCAAAAATAATATAATAAAAATAATATAATAATAACTGTGCTTAATATGTCCAGGGATGTTAGCTAAGAAGGAAAAAAAGTCAAGTTTGGCTTCAAGTTGACTTTAAAATGAAATGGAACACCTTGAACCTTATTAGTTTAACTGTTATTTGAAACTAAGTTGCTTGCAAACCTGTAATAAAGCCGGTTTTGTTACTATCTAAAAAAAACTGAACAAAAAAAGTAACAAATAAACAAACAAAAAACCCAAAACAAAGAGTCTTACAAAAGCAATGTTCAGACTGTGAGTGCAAGTCTGATTTTTGGTAGCTCCAGATTGTATCCAGATTGATTTTTGACAGTTTGGACAGCAAAAAAACATGAAATTCAATTTTTGAAAATCAGATCTAAACCACATTGGAATTCCAGTTGGATTTTTACAGATGCTCTCAGTCTGGATGCTCTGGATGCTCAAATTGTATTTCAAAGTGTCATTTGCCTCATTTGCAACATGACAAGCAACAACAATGTCAAATCCAGAGTGAGGGAAGTGCTGGTATCGAAGAAGAGCACCAAAGACTTGTGGTCATTTCAGAGAATTTCTAAGAGTTTAGGGGCGAGATGATGCACCTCCATCTCTGCTGCATCTGTGTTTGAAATGCGCAGCCAGCGTAGTTTCATAGTCATCACCTATGTCGTTACCACAGCAACCCATGCAGATAGACTGGTGATGTCTGGAAACACAAATCCGATCTAATCACTTGCAAATAACAGTACAGACAGTCTCTCAAAAGATCTGATTTGAGAAACAAATAAGATTTGCCTGCAGTCTAAACACAGCTAAAATAATGATAAACTAAATAACGGATGAATAACAAACTACAATTCCACTCTTAAAACTAAAGGAAGCAAAAATCGTCCTTTGTGTGATGCCAAAGATGAACCACATCTTTAAAAAAAACTTTGTCAGTGGTTCTTTGGAGAACCATTTATGTGAAGGAGATATGCAATGTACATTTAAAGAACCTCCATGCAAATATAAAGGTTCTATACCCATTAAAAATGATTTTCTAGAAATTCACCTCCAAACTTAGATCTATTTAGGAGCTCTTCTTTTATCTAGGAAGAATCCTTCAATTATTAACATTATTTAAAGGTTCATTAAAACTTCAAAAAAAAGGCTCTTCATGCTCACAAATCTCTTTTCCAAACATGGTCCTGTGAACAGAAAGTGGTTTTACTATGACATCACTAAAATAATTATTAAAGAGTGTCAAACATGTAAAAGTCTGAATACAGCAGAACCTCAGGAGATACTCTGCAGTTCATTAATGTGAATCATTGAACTGATTCATTACTGAATCCTGCAGACTATTTAGTTCTAATTAAACTATTAAGAGTCACAAATTAATTGATAACTATTATACTATTATACAACTAATAGCTGCTTATTTACCTGCTAATGAACTGATGAATGTTTACTTATATAAATAATATGAGAAATAACAAGTACTTATTTGTTAATCATGTTAATTATCTGTTAAGTGATCTACTGATTTATTGATATTAATTAATTAACTCTTTGTGTTCTTCCCAGTAAAGTGATTATTCTCACTGCTAATTCTACTATGAACTCATGATTAGGACTTGAATAGTAACTGATATCTTCTTTACTCTCTACTTGTTTTTGTGTCCCCACGAGTTCAGTAGAAAATATACATACATCAACTTATATGCTAAATGATTCTAGGCAATAAACTGAACATTTCCATTTTTTATTCATTGAAAACAAGTCCTTCATACTTGCACATTTCATCCATGATAGGTTTTTAGGGATCAAGATTGGTTTTCCATGGTTTCAATTCAAAAACAATGCTTGTGGCACCTTAAAATTCAAGATATAAAGATAATAGTGGATCTGTCTACATACGTCTTTGATTAAGCAGCCTGTGTTGTAGGCCTGACCTGTATGTCCACTTCAGTTTCTACAGTGATTCACAGTGAAATGTATTTCTGCTGCTTTTAATCATGAATTTGTAGTGTAAATTAGTAAATTAGCATTGAAGATCACTTTACTTGGTCAATTTACTTGGTGGGACACACAAAGTAGTAATTAATGGTTAAGTAATATGAAGTAAGGAGTAATCCATGGTGAAAATCTAGAAACAGTTGTGAGGATAGAGAAGCATCAGAATATGTGGAGGTGAAGGAAAGTTATACAAGCTGTGACCTGATGACTAAACTATCAGTTAACAATGTACTCAAGTACTGATTATTAAGTGCTTAATCAGTAACTAATGCTTAATAAGCAAGTACATAATACATAAATAATGAGTATTGTAGTATTTAATAGCACATAATTATCAATTAATGTGTGACCTGTAATATAAAGAGTTACCATTTAATTTAAAGTCAAAATGGCCAATAAGTATACGTTATTCATTTTTTCAGGAGACATTTCTGAGTAAGTTACATACAAGATAATCCACATGCATAAGTAGAGGAAAGTCAAAGAAAAACAAATGGAAAAAACAGCTAGACCACCAACACTGTCACTATCAGATAACTGCTTTCTTCTTTGAGAGACGAGAAAAACAAGCTCCACACTTCCTTCAGCTCTGAAAAGAATGCACAGATGAGTGGCTGTCAAGAAACTATTACTGAGAAAAGGAAGAAGACAAAAAGAAGAAAGTTTGTACTAGAAAGCATAAACTGAACATCTGAGATGAGAAAAGGTTTTATGGACTGATGAGTCTAAAAGTAACAGAAAGCAGTATGTAAATCACTGAACAGGACAACATTGTTTAATACAAATTCATTCATATTTCAAATTCATCTTTCTCTCTCCAGCTTCAGGTTCTGGATCTGGATCTACTGAAGTAACAGTCGGAGTGTCAGTGGCACTGAGTTTAACCTTGTTCCTCATCATCATGCTGGGCCTGATTTGCTGTTACAAGAAGAACAAAGGTTTGAAAACACACTTTGTCTGTCCTGTATCAGTTTATTCAGCTGACTAAAGACAGATTTCTGTGAGCTGTGCTGTTTGTACTGTAGCTGATATAAAATAAAGTTT